CCAAACTAAACGTATTTACACAAAAATCGAGTTCATTCAACAATATTACAAACAAAAAATCGATAAATACAACAAAAAGTATATACACAAATAACTACACTTTTCACTTATCACCTGTCTCACTCTATTTTTTTTTTACGGGCGTCATACACAATATCCTATCCCTACCTTTTCTTGCTTCGTTTTTTAACGGACAAAAACATAAAAGAAACAAACATATCTATTTGTCACCCCGTTTCTGTTGTCATCCTAGTTGGAGTAGACTTGGTCCTATAAGTAGAGTGAAAATTTCTCAAAAATATATCTATAATATGCTAGATGTCAAGTCTAAACCTTAATTTTCTTCTTCCGAATAAAACATAAAGTTTGCAAAACGTAATTCCACTATCTCAACTAGAAATAGTACGAGTCTTCACAAAAAAAAAAAAAAAAGAAGAAAAGTTTAAAAAGCAAAGGCATTACAAGATTAGGAAGGGTCTAAAAGTTGGAGTTGGTGAGCATAAAGAGGTGTGTACTAAGCCCAAGCCCGGAACCGTTTTGTCATTGAAGTTGACGACGAATTGAATCATCATTCATCACCACCACCCAATCCCATTCTTCTCCCCTCTTCTCTCCCACACAGATTCTCCTCCTTTTCCCAGAAACCAAATAACATTAATAAATACTAATAATTTTTATTATTATTCAATTAAATTAATAAATAAAGAGAAACCCCTCTTTTTTTCCTTTCTCGATTCTCATTCGTTCAATTTAACCAAACCGCTCCTTATTTGTTTCCCTTCAACATCAAAGCGACTCACTCACACACACACACACGCCGGAAATTCCCAATTTTTTCTGGGAACTAGGGCACAAAAATGGTTTCCCGGGAAAACAACAATTGGCTCTACGATTACGGCTTAATCGACGATATTTCCCCTCCCATTCCCACCTTCATGCCCGCCCCTTCCCCCGGCTTCACCTGGCCCGCTCACCAGCCCTTCAATCTTTCTTCCAATGTCGGGTACTCACACATCCTCTTCTCGTCTTTCTATCTATCTGATTGCTTTTCTTTTTCTGAATTTTTTTTACTTTTACGATTTTCGGTTTCGTTTCTTACAATCAATATGTGTCGGATTTTGTTCTGTTTGATTATTTGGGTTTATGAATGTTTAGTAGAATTTCGGGTTATAAATATAGTTCTAAATTCTAATGCTAATTAATGGCTGTGTTGCTTATGCAAATGGAAAACCCTACACAATTTCAGTGGCTGTTCTTGTCCTGTACTGAAAGTTTACAAAGTTCTGATTTGTCATATGGACTCAAGCTAGGTAGATGAAATTGAGAAATGTTTTATGTATAATTTGTAATTATGAAGTGTGTATATAACAACACTCTTGTTAACTTAAGGATTTGATATGAGAATGGGAAAACAACTATACCAGATTCTAATATATCGAAGTTCCTTGATTATTTTTTAAAGTGGGATTTGGGGAATTTAGGAAGGGTTTTCCCTCTAGATACTTATAATGCAATAAGGATTGCTACTTTTGTTACCATTTTCAATAATGCATTATTTATCTTTGTGAAGCATATATTTCAATTCCTATTGCCTTTCTAAAACGTGTATATGTATGATGAGGCATTGTATGTTTTGTTTGTACAATGGAATAGAAAATGAATTGCTGGTCACATGAATGTTCCCCAGAATTTTTTAGTATTCTGCATTATGAGTGGCGGTAAAGTATAGATAACTTTAAAAGAAAATGACTCAATTAGGAATATAGCAAAAGAAAAAAACTTACAGGTCAGTTGGGACCCATTCCGTATAAAATGGGTACATCTTTGGTTGGTTGCACCATGTTTTTATATCAAGAAAAAGAAAGAAAAAACAATTTGCCTGATAGTGTTTATATATTTATTCCTCTCCATGAATCTATTTGCCACCCCTCCCTCTTCCAATGATGAAAAACCATAAATGTCTCACTTTCTTTTTGTTTTTGCAATACTATGCTGCCAGTGCTGAAGTTGACGTCTCATTAGGGGATTCTGACAGTCTCAAAGAGTCTGGTTCAAAGAAGAGGTACACAATTTTCTGTTCCCATTTAAGTTTCATTAAACTAAACAATTTCTTATTGATTTGAATATGGATTTTGCTTTATCAAAACCTAGAAAAAAAAAGAACAAAGAATCAATGTGCTAAAGAAAAATGATTCAACATGCATAGGCTCTTAGAAATATTATTCTGTAACTGAAGCTTTTCATTTACTTCATTTCTCAATGATTTATGTGGCATTTGAGTAATTTAAGTAGACTTCCTAGTGATATGAATAAGAGCACTTCAACTAACTAATAAATGTTAGTCCCGTAGTTGCATCAAATGGCAATGCAACTTAATTTCAATGGTGAGGCCTACTGGTGTGATTATATGTGATAAAAGAATCAAAATTACAAGTCTTATGGCATTGCATATGTTATCATGCTCCAGTAGACCATTAATTTTTTAGGTCTACTTCCCAGCATTATATTTCCCTGCCATGTAGTATTTGCTACTGCCCTTTTGTATTTAAACTAAAAAATGACTGGATTCAATGTATAAATCTTATCATGGGGAAAGACGTCCTCATTTCTCTTGTTCATTTCTTGTTGCAGGGGTAGATCTGAGTCATGTGCTGCCACTAGCTCCAAGGCATGTCGGGAGAAGTTGCGTAGAGATAGGCTTAATGACAAGTAAATGTTTTACGCACAACTAAGTTCCTCTGTTTTTCTATTTTCCTTGTGGATTTTGTGTAAATATTTAGATGTGGCATGTACCTAAAATAATGGACATGATTAGGTTTATTGAATTGGGCTCCATTTTGGAGCCTGGAAGGCCTGCCAAAACAGACAAGGCTGCTATTCTGATTGATGCTGTCCGAATGGTGACACAGCTGAAGGGTGAAGCCGAAAAGTTGAAAGATGCTAATTCGGGTCTTCAAGAAAAGATTAAAGAATTGAAGGTGGAGTCTTAATTAATATTTGTTTTTTTATAGTATATTTTCACATGGAATGACTTTCAAGAGAGATATATTCTAGATCCCTTGAGTTTTTATGCCTTAAAACTATTACCTTTTCCTATTGGTGAATGAAAAACTCATAATGTAAACTGTATAAAAAAATCTAGGTTGAGAAGAATGAACTCCGTGACGAGAAACAGAGGCTCAAGGCAGAGAAAGAGAAGTTGGAGCAGCAGCTGAAATCTATGAATACACAACCCAGTTTCTTGCCTCCTCCCCCCACTGCCCTTCCTGCTGCACTCCCTGCTGCATTTGCTGCACAAGGCCAAGCCCATGGCAACAAGTTGGTACCTTTTATTAGTTATCCAGGAGTTGCTATGTGGCAATTTATGCCACCTGCTGCAGTGGATACCTCACAGGATCATGTACTTCGTCCTCCAGTTGCCTAACCTGGCACTGTGCAATTCTTCGAGCTTCCATTTTGGCTCAAGATTGTATCCAATCACCAATACCTTTTTGGCTTTGTTAGTTTTCTATGTATTCTAACTGGACCCAGCGGCTTCCTTTGTATTTTGCATATGGATACTATTATGAATTAATGCTGGTATTTTCCTGTAAATGATAATAAGCTCTGTATCAGTTTCAATGGTTGCTACACTGTTTTGAGATATTCCAGTGAGGCAAATGATTGAGTTATCTTTTTTTAGGCTTACAAAGCGGGGAAGAACTTATTCTTAACAGTACATATGTTTAAACAAGGTGCAGTTATAAATAGGGATGGCAACGGGGCGGGTCGGGGGCGGGTTTAGCTAACCCCGCACCCGCACCCGCAACTCCAGTAATAGACCCGCCCCCGCCCCCAAACCCGCCGGGGGATGGAAATTCACCCCAGACCCGCCCCCAATGGAGAACGGGTCACCCGCCCTCACCCGCGAAAACTGTTTTTTTTAAATAAAAAAATATCTATTTTTTTCACAAATTTCCTGGACAGCATTAACAAATACATTAAAAATACAAAATTCGCCATTGATTTGAGTAAATAATTGTAGGATTTAATATTTAAACACCATTCCAAATATTTTTCTATCATAACCCTTCAATCAACTATAAATTGGTTGTGAACTTGTGATTCATTAAAAGAGTGTAATCTTTCAATATATCAAAGTATAAATCACTCCCAACAACCAACAATTTTTTTGCAAAGTACAAATACAAAATTAAAACAATACAATCAACAAAAGAACTATTTCAACAACATATGAGAAAATAAAAGTAACATAAAAATAATTAAAACAAGGTTATTATAGTAATTGGATTATTCGGGGCGGGGCGGGTGCGGGCGGGTCTCAGTGTCTTACCGCCCCCGCACCCATAGTTAGAAACCGGGTTTTACCCGCCCCCGCACCCGTTTTAGCCGGATTTTCCCCGTTAATTTCGAGGCGGGTCCGGGCGGGGTCCAGCGGGTCTGGGTTTTTTTGCCATGCCTAGTTATAAACTACCAAATTCAGATGTGATGGTGCTTGTGTATGAACTATTGTGAGGTTGTGAGCTACTGAATAAAATATATGGATTCAAACACTGAATAAACAAAACACAACACAAATATCATATTCCGTATTATCTTATGCTTCAACATTTCTTTTCTTAAAACTATATTTTTTTAATCTAGATACCAAGTTTTATTGACGTTTTGTTTGAATTAGAAGAAAAATATTCAGTTTAACAATATAATATTTCAGTTGAATAGCAATCCCTTACTGACTACAACTGCATTTTCTTTATATTTTGTATAAGATCTAGAATTTTTTTGGTTTTTTTACAATACAGAGTGAATAGAGGAAAAAGAATTTCAAAATTTTAAATGTATACTTTTTATTAAAAAGTTAAACAAAGGAGGATCGAGCCATGTCATTGTTGTGTCATCTTTTTCTTCCACAAACTCGCGCATGAAAAAATCTTCTCATTTATACAAACAAGGACCTTGTATTCAACTCTTAAAAGGCTCACATTCTCTCAACATCCAAGTTACCATGCCCTCATGTGACAGCTTTTGACGAATTTATCTGAAAAGTTTACATACTTACTCCACAATGGCCTTAGTTGTGGAAAACCTATATCTAGCCATGGTTTTGCCCTTCCATTGAAATGAACAACCCCAGCATTCATAGCATCATCAACACTTGTATTTTTCTTATATCCCAATCCCATCATGTGCCAGAAAGGATCAATCTTATGCACATTACCATGGAATGCTATTAATGGTAATGTACCTAACTGCCACAAACTCATGTTTGATCTTATATTCTGCATGAACCATAGAGAGAAAAATTAGTCTATTATTATGATACTATCTATCTCTAATTTTGAAAATCATAATTTAAATTTTAACATATCATTTGTAATTTTCTTTTTCCCTTTTCTCATTATATAGTATTGTAGTAATCACCTACGGGACATTAGAAACACGACTCTGACATGGACATGGGACAGACACATTTTTTCAGTGGTGTCGATGCTACAAAGATAATCACCGAGATTAGCGCAAGTGGTAGATGCACAGTGTGAGTGTGATAAACCTTAGGTAATCACCGAGATTAGCACAAGCGGTAGGTGCACAGTGTGGGTGTGATAAACCTTAGGAATCGAGTTCGATTCACTATGAGTAGAGTATATAGTATAATAGTAGGATAATAGATCAAGGTATACCTGCTCAACCCAATAGTGGTATGTATTGCTTATATTGGTCTTCCTCCAAGCCTTCAAGTCAAAAATGTTCATGCCATAAGCCCAAGGACATTCATTTGGATAAATTTTTTTGGATATTAGAGGGTTGGAGAAGTTCAAATAGCTTTTTAACCTCTTTGACATCATGAATTTATCGCCCCCTTTACATGTTTCTACTGCTCCATTGACTTTTCCATTCATGTCAATGTCCCATAGAGGTGAAAGATCAGTTTGTACCACAATATCGTCATCCAGGAACACCATCTTGTCAAGACTCGGGAACAGCTGTTACCAAAAATATATAATCACAGTAAGGAAGATGATTAATCTATCATAACGCATAACTATAATGTAAGCATTTATATACGTGCTTTTGGCACTGTGCTATCCGTTGTTTATACAAATATGGTTTTACTTCGTACTGCTATCACCTTTACCTCTGGAAGATGTATCCGAATGTGGTTCATCACTGAACTATACTTGGGACCACGTGTTCGCAGTTGTGCCTTAATAACATTGGGCTTCTCATTCATATTTGCAACTATAGCTGATGATCCTCTTCTAAACTTTGATCGCTTATTTGGATTTTTTTCCTTTGCCTCTATAACAGACGCTTTCCTCTTTGTAAACCAATCAAAATGGTGCAATGCCTTGACCTCAATTACAGCAGGTGATAAAGAGTGCAGTGAAAACCAAGCTTGCATGGAATGATAAGTCTTTCTATCTGTAATTATGTGTAGAACAACTTTCCAAGGGTGCAAACTGTTGCGAACAAGTGATTTTGTAACCACAGAGGCAGCAATCACATTGTCTGAGGCAAGAACAAAGTGGAAGTAAGAATTGTCAACCAGAGCAGGAAAAAGTTCTGAAGATGGTAGCCGAAGGCGAGCCGCTGCATTGTTCGTGTGCTCATTCGCCAGCCTCATTTCAAGACAGTGAAGGTGCTTCGGTATGCTGTTCGATACCACTTGATGATATAAATATTCTTGGATTTTAGAGGTCCTAGTCCTTTGTTGCATAAAGTTTACCTAAGAAAATGATCAACATTATGTGATGAGACTTGAACTTGGAAAACTTTTATTTTTGCATTGTATTTATCTTCTAATCTCCGCGTATTCAAAAGAGTGGGAGAATGCTACCATTTCTCTCAATTTAATCGCAAATGTCTTGGCATCATATCCACCTTTGTTCATTTCAGTCATGAACTCTTCTAAAGTCTGAGGAATATCCGATTTTCCCTCCATTTTGTATTTGTCAAGGGGTTGATCTAACATTGCATATATCTCCTCCGGTACCTAAAGAAACCAGTGTCATTTTCAGCCACCATTAAGAAAATCCGAGTCAGTTAATTTAACTACCATGCAGAATCATTAATATATTAATTTAGTTTTAACAGTAAAGGAGATTACAGTTGATGCAAGACTTCTTTCTGATATCTTTGGCCTCAGTTTTCTTCCCAGGCAACCTACAGTATATATGCATAAACAATCACATTAATCGGAGTTTTAATTTCTAGACTAGTGTACTTGCTTCAAAATGTTGAGGAGAAACGATTCTCAACTTTTTGAAACAAGTACACGACTAGTCTAGAAATTTCTAGACTACCTTGCAGAGAATCTTTTCCGCGTTGTAAGTTTGAACTTTGTGCATCTGGGCGTATGTGTACGCGTGTATTTATCTTTGTGTGTAAGAGAGGGAGAGAAGATATTACGTACCTATATTAGAGCACTTGTTTTCACCGTTTATGCCATCAACTCCTGTTAAAACAAACACAAATCGGAGAAGAAAAGTGAAGAACAATAGCGAATAGAAAAGCGCCCGATAAGAAAATCTACCCGAGTTAATCCTCGTTTTGAAAAATTCTCTCAACCCTTTTCCTTGAAGTACATTGATGTGTCTCAAATTTGGAAATATATGCAGCAGCATTTTGTCCAAACACAATAGTTATGTGCAACACTGACAAAAAAGTAGCACTTCTTCCTCTTCTATATTTACTACTAGTTTTCTTGATTAGCAAGTCACCACCTGAACAACAAGAACAGAGAACTTCAAGAATTCACTATGTTGTAAAAAGATTGTTTAACTTAAGATTGCTATCTTTCACCTAACCTTGCTTAGCATTTGGAACATGGATATCATGTTGTGGAAAACAATTGAGAAAAGGGTTGTTAAAGAGAAAGAGACAAGGAACTAAGAATGAAGCTGTTGTGGTTTGTTTGATTCAACTTTCAAGTTTTGGCTATTGGCTTGGATTTGAAGAAGGCATGTTGAGGGAAAAAAAAGGGTAGTTTTTTTTTTGTCTATTAGTCTATGACTAGAATTTCTCCTTTTAAATGTTAATAAAGAACCATTTATTTTAAATAATTTTTATTAAAAAAATTCCAATTTTTTAAAAATAAAAATAAATAAAAATTAGTTTATATAATTTTTCATAAAATGTTATTTTAAATATTTCATAATTTTACTATAACTTGTTTTAATTATCAAAATTTCAAAAAATTATTTAAATTTAAAGTTATTTATTTTAAAAATATATACTTTTGAGAATTTATTGATTTTGACTATATTTTAATTTTTATAAATGTATATTTATTTTTAATAATGTATTTCATGTTATTGAATACAAAGTTCATATTTTATTTTATAATAAATGATTAAAAATTTTTTTTTTCATTTTTAGGAATAACTTTTTTTCATTTTTTTTTTTGAGTTTTGGTTTCTTTATTTTAAGATCTGTAATTTTAGTCCATCAATATAATGATATGTTTAATATAAATATTAAATAAAAATAACTTTTTTTGACCGATTCACTTATGTCATTAAAAATTGTTTTCAAATTTGCATGTTATTAAAATTTTTAAAAAATTAAAATACAGAGATTAAAATTTTAGATTTTAAAATAGGGAGAGCAAAATCCAAAAAGAATAATAATCAGGGGATCAAAATTACAATTAAATAAAACTTTTAATAGTTAAAAAATGTTTTTATTAAAATTATTTTTGAAAATATAAAAATCTTATATTAAAGTTAAAGCAAAGAAACCTTAAATGAATTGTGGCAGATTGGAATCTAAACTATTATAATGAAATGTTTTTGCAGCTATTAAATGAGTTTAAAGAAGAGAACACAAAGAGTAGAAATTTAAATATTTGTAAAATGTGTTTGGATAGGTAATTTTTGAAGGTAATGTAATTCAACATAGTCCTTTCTCTTTAGAGTTTGGAGTTTTGAGTGAGACGAAACAAGACTTCTACTACTACATGGAAAACGACTGTTTTCTCTCTCAAATGTGGGGTCTAAGATGTGGATTTTGGAGTGAAATTTTAGGAAGCTTTTCTCCTTTTTTGCTATGGAAGGAAATTGATATTATTTAGGGAATTATACTCATATTAGTACTAAATTCTAATTTTGTTTAGCTATGCTGTCATTTTCCCATTCTATTTCTCTTTTTCAAATTTATTTATATTATTATTTTTTACTTTGTATTTCGTGGGTTGTTTGAAAAATAATAAAACTACAGTATACATTTTTAATTAAATAGAAAAATATCGAAAAACTTTTAATTGCAAAAAAATTATTTTTAAAATCAAAATTTTAAATTCTAGAATTGATTATGTATACAAAACATATTAGCATTTTCAATACTCTTTTATTAGAAAAATTAGTTATAATTAATATCTAAATTATGTATTTTAGAAAAGAAAAAACTTAGTTGTATTTTCTTAAATATGATTTATTCTTTTTCCAATGAAAATATGGCAATGTTATATTTTCTCATAAACATATATAATTTCTTCTTATTTTTACCTCTTTAAAGATATTTTTTATTAGAGAAAAATATGAATTAGACCTATGAAATTGTATCTAAATATTCTCCTTTTAAAATTATCTATAATCATAAAAAATAAATTTGTAGAATAATGAATTAAAAAAATAAATTAGACATAATTAGTATTAATAATTTCATATTTATATTTTATATGTTTAAATTAAAACTTTTATATAGAGATATTTGTGTTTAATGACAAAATAAAGAATATATTTAATGTACAAATAAAAGATTCTAAACTTTATAAATAGTGGCGTATTGAGCAAATCAAAAGTATATTTAATATTTATTAAAAAAGTATATTTAACATAAAAATATAAGATATTGAACTTTACAAATAGTTGTATAATGACCAAATCAAAATCAAAATTGAATTAATTCAATCACTAATAATAATATTTTTTACATATTTTTGATAATTCCAGATGACTTAAAAACTATAATCACCCAGAAATCACACCATGACATTATTACTTTTAATTCTTTGTCATTCAAAGTGTTATTGAAAAGATCATGAAATATTTTCCAAAAATCATGTAGAAGAACGATGGAACCAATCTCAAGAGAAGAGAAGTGTGTGAGGGATAGAAGAAAAAAGAAAAACAGCACAGAATGAATAAAAAACACAATATATGACGAAGTTTATAAAGCCTTAGCCTTACCTCAATGGAGTGTAACAAAATGGAACTCTAACTAAGGAAATCTTTGTCCTCCTTCTTTCAACTTCCACTTCTCCTTTTCTTTTTTCTCTCACTATTTTTACTTCTAGATATACATCTCACCAAAATTCTTGATGTACTGTGGATATGGACAAAAAAGAAATAAAATATATATTTTTTAATACAATTAATCCTTTCCATATTTGGTTGATTTTCAAATACGTTATTCCTTCCATTATTAAGAGCGTTTGTATTGTAAAAGTTTTATTGACTAAAATATTTTTTTTATTAGTGTTTTTATGTGTAGGGTGAGAATATGTCGGATTAATTAACATTAGACCAATACAGATTAAAGTCAAGTTATATTTTTTAAAGTAGAAAAAGTTTAATCTTTTTTATAATTCTATTAAATTAAATAGGCTAGACTACAGAATATAAAAAAAGTTTTTTAAATTTATCAGACTAGTCAATTTTAATAAATATGTATATTTATTATTTTTTTATATTATATTTTGTATTTTATATTAAAATATAAAAATAAAGTTTAATAATTTTGAAGAATTTCTGAAATAAGTTGAAAAAATATTATGAATAATGTTATAAGTTATTTTTATAAATTCCTCCCAATAAATAATCTCACAAAATTTATGCTAGTATGTATGCTCAAATAAGTCAATATAAAAAATATTTAGTCACATAGTAATTTTAATTATCTAATATATTTAAACATTAGTTGAATGATTTATTTACATATGTTCAAATGATATAGATTTTTTAAGCAGACTAATAGGTTAATCATGCTTTCAAATAAGTCAGATTTAGACTGAAAAATAAATATATAACAGACCACATATCAGACTTAAGTTTGAAACTTTTTAGAAGGTCAGACTCAAGTTTGATAAAGTCTAACTTGACTCAACCTATTCTCACCCCTATGACTATGTGGTGGAATAAATTTTCTAGAATAATAAAATATATTTTATTTAAGTTTGTTTTTTATAAAAAAAAATTTTTTGTCTTGATCAAATTATCAATACTTATCCAAGAAAACTTGAGTAAGAAGATAAGAAATTTCTTCTAGATTAAGATATGGATTTGAACTCAACAATGAACATGCAATAGTGTTATTTTTTTTAGAAACATTTTTATTATTTATTGTGTTTTTCTCTGATTCGAAGAATTAATTTTTTCAATTATACATGAATATGTGGTGCCTCTCTCACTTGCTTGGGTGAGTCTTTGACATTTAGGCGAGTCTTTGATATTTAGGTAATTGTTTGACACAATATGGATGCTTCTCTCTCATGATGACTCGTCAGTGATATCAGACCAATTAAGAGAACGACTCATTGTATCGAAAGTCTTCTTCATAAGATGATGGTTAGATGATGTGTCACGTTTGATCTCAAACGGTGAAACAAGTGTATGTGGATGAAAGATATTTCACTTGAGGAGGAACATATTGGATGAAACACATTTGAGAGAGAGATTGTTGTGCACAAGTGTGAGTTGGAAGTCTCACATTGCTTAAAAAAGTGAAAGTTGAGAGCATTTTATAAGTGAGAGAACTCATCTACTTAATATCTTAATATTTTTGGTAGATATATGGTGTCTCTTTCAGTTGTATGTTGCTCTTGACCTAATGTATATGTTCTTCATGATGATCCAACAATTTATGTTACTAATTAGTTTGAACAAAATCAAACTACTTTATTCATTCAGAATCGACCTCATGCCAAATCATTGGTTCAATATATCGATTTTGAATACCAAAAATAAATTTTTAATATTGAGTCATTTGCGCAAAGTGAATTAATATATTTATTTTTAATTAATTTGATAAAAAAACACTTAAATTTTTTATTTTACCATTTTTTATAAGCATGTTTTTTATATAACTTTTTTTATCACTATTATGTAATATAAATGTATTTAAATTCAAGCCGATTCAAAATAAAATCATTAGTCTTTTAAAAAAAATTAAAAATCATATAAAATTAAATAGTAACAAATATCACATATTAAAATGCATGTTTAAATTAATCGTCTAAAATCAAATTAAATTACACCTGATTTATCTTGAAATAAGATAATAAAATCTTGAAATAAGATAATTTCTTTTTCTTTCAAAACTGATTCAAATCATATTTCAAAACACTAATTATATTAATTTTTGTTTCTTTTATTACATTTACATTTAGCCTTCTCGTTGTTTTACATTTTGTAATTCTAATATTTGTAAATTTATTTGAATATTAAGTCATAACACGAATGAAAAACATATCAATAAAATATGAGTACAACTTCACTATTAGATGTTTTGCATGATGTTAAAATTAGGAAAATTTAGTATTTCTGTATATTGGATGGTATTTCTATGTCTTGTGTCATTATTTTGTATTAGGGTCTTAGGAACCATTAAAAACGATTTTGAAATT